AGAACTACACAACATGATTAAAGGGAACAATCACCAGAGTTCACATATGGCTGGGAATAGTATCTGTCCCTGCCAGCCACAGTGGAAAACATCATTCACAGAGCATCAGAGTGAATACTGAGATGGGTTTTGCTTTAGCAGTGGGGAATAATTAGCCCTAGACTTAGGTCGTTCTGCTCAAAACTCAAAAAGTATAAGAGGAAGACACTCAAAAGATCAAACTGTTTCCAAGCAAACTAACTGTGTTCCAGCCCAAAGGTCATTAATATTTATCTGCACAAATATATCAAGCACTCAACAAGTTAAAATTCACACCTGGCACCCAATCAAAAATTACCAGTCATCCAAAGAAGCAGGAGAATAACACCCATAACAAGGAGAAAAAAATAATTGAAATTGACCCAAAATAGACACAGATGATAGAACTGGTAGACAAGTACATTATAACTGTTATTATAACTGTATTCCATATTTTCAAGAAGGTAAAGATTGACATGTTGAGTAGAGACATGAAAGATGTTAAAACTCTGTAGTCACACTTCAGCAATGTACTGAATCACACAAAACAATGTCTGAGGTTAAAATTATACATTAGATGAGATTAACCAAAGATCAGATATGGTAGAAGATTAGTCCATTTGACAATAGAAATTATGTAAAATGAATTACAGTGAAAAAAAGACTGAAAATAAAAAGAACGAAACATCAGTGGGTGGCCTAATATATGTTATCAGAGTCCCTGAAAAGGGGAACGGGGCAGAAAAATATTATTTTTAAATAACACCTTTAAAATTTCTGAATTTGATGAAGACTAAGGACACACAGATCCAAGAAGCTTAACAGACCTCAAGAGGAAGAAACACAAAGAAAACTATAGCAAGGAACATCATAAACCAATTGCTCAATTCCCAAAAGCACTCCCTAATAAACCTTCTGTATCCATTTCTGAGTGAGATGCCAACCTGAAATATATACCAATATCCATATCAAGACAACCACCCTCTGTGGAGTAGAAGGTATATATATATTTACCTACAATGTACTTCTACGTTGCTTTATTTTCTCATAATGAGTATATATTATTTTTACAACAAAAACAGATTAATATATGTAACTACCTTGTGATGGATATCTTTGCAAATGGCAAGAGGTTTATAAATCTCCCCAAGAACACCTTATATCTCTTAAAATTCTGCCTTTAAGTCAGAAACCTAGTGATGCTGCATTAGCTCAAAATTCGCTTCAGTGCTGTTACAAAATGTATTTTCTGTATGATGGCAGATTGGAAATCCACAAATTTCCCGTACCTGCAATGCCAATGCTGATGTGTATAAAAATTTGATATACACATAATTACACAAGATTTCAAAATTATTCATTTTCTATGTTTACACAGCTTACACACACATAGGTGTTTAAATGCTAACTTTCTTAATATCAAAAGGCCTATTTGCTATGCAAAAAATATTTGAGAATGGAGAACTGTAAGGTTGAAAATGATATTGCTTTGTGAATCCAGCATTTTGAAATGTCTGGACTATTTAATACATTACCCTTTTCTTTGCTTTCATCTGTCTTAATCAGTGTTTTCTGGCATTCAAAAACTGGCCATAGTTCAAATCTACTTGACTGAAAATTGCTACCTGAACAACTTTAACTAAAAAATGTTGCAAAAATACTTAAGATTTGGTGTAATAAACACAATATTTCTTATACCTAAGCCATATACTTTATAACATAAATTATAACCTGTACAATCCACTTTATCTGCATAATCAAAAGATACAGCAAGTTGAAATTAAACTGTACGCTGGTTATAATCCATATGTTGCACTTCCATTAACAAAAACCATAAAACAGTCAATAAGTACTGCCAATAAACTCTGCATTGCTTTGGCCTCTGGACTATCTCAGAAGGCATTTTGTCAATAGAATATATAGAAATATTGCTACATCGCCACAAATTGTCTTTAGGGAAACAGAACTGTAATTTCATCATGATGGATATTTCTAACAACTACATGATTGCTAAGTATACCACAAGTTCTCCTCCTGGACAAAATCCAACATAAGGCAAAAACACACACTGCCCCAAAGCCACAGGACACCCTGCTGTAAGATGCATCCCTGTATCAAAGATTCAATTACACTTTGCAGTTCATCAGGTAAACCAGTTACGTCTAGACTCCTATCCTGACACAAAACGTCCACTGCATAGTCTTCAAAAATGATCATCATGACAAGTTCTAGTAGGTGCAGTGCTGACAACAAAAGTCAAAAATTATAAATTTCCATCATCCTTCACAACCTGAACTTAAAGAAGTTAAGTAGTCGTGATGTTGTGGTGAAGATAAAAACAATTTGAAAAAAAGAGATCTCAAAAACTTACGTTAAGATACCATTTGTATTTGGCATGTTTCCAACTCTCAGGAACTTGTGTCTTTTTGAGAAAGTGTTCAGCTTCTGTTAGCCATTGATTAAATATCTTCATATCATAATGAAACCGCCGCCATTTTTCAACAGATCTGTCAAATTGCCTAGAATTTAAAAATATGGATCAAGAAAAATAAATGGATTATATGGACCTAGCATATATTTTATTACATTAACGAGGATATTATTTTGATAGCTTCTCACATTTGTATATTTCAAATTCAATTAACATAAATAATTAGTATAGAATACAGGATGAATTAAAATAAAAGGTTGTAATTTTCCCTTTAAAACTGAATACATTTTGTGATTGAAACAAAGATGGAAACAACTATCATGGAGTATTAGTGTTTTCTTCCCTATGGGAATATTTAATTTTTAATAAAATTTCAGGAATTAAAAAAATATATTAACATCTAATAAATTAAGTATTTTGAAGCTAGATACTAACAGTCAAAATATTTTTTGGATCAAAATAAAATTATTTCATTAAACTCTACCAATTTCAGTCATATCTTGACCTAAAAGCGTCTATTCATTAAGATCCTCAAGCATTCAGGATGATAGATGTAACTTATACGTAGGCTTACATGTAAAATATCTACCAACTAACTGATATAGTAGTCTAAAACAGATGATGAGTGTTGTCTTCCTTTATCCTTCCGGTTTCATTGTATCCACTAACATTTCAAATTGGAATGCTGAAGGAATTTAGTGCAAGGTAATATGTTAACATCTCACGTGAAAAGAATATTAAGAAGGAAGCATTTGGTCATGTTCTGGTTGCAGAAGAGACTGAGGCAGAAATTATATGAGTCAAGGCTTTATGTTTACCCTAAGACAGCTGCACATAACAATCACTTGTAGCATTTTGAAAAAAACAGCAATAAAACACTGATTTTGGGTCCCCAATCTAGACCAATTAAATCAGTATCTTTGGAGGTGGGATCCTTACACTGGTATTTTTAAAAGCACCCAGATGATTCTAATGTATGGTAAAGGTGAAAAATACTGTATATTATTAAGTTTTAAATATGGGGTTCACGATCTACTGGGTCTCCCAATGCCCATCCAAACAGGCATTTGCCAGCACGAAAAAAAAGCCATCCTGAAGATTCCTGGCTGTAGAGCTGCCTCACAATACAGTAGTCTGTCAAACTTCTCTGAGTTCTACTCTTAAGATGCAATGGATTATAGATTTGAATATCTTGAGGATCTTCTCAGATCTCTACCTCCATTTAGGAACTTTAAATAATTTTAGAACCCCAATAATGCCACAATTCCCTACTGTTTTACTGGGAAAGGAATGGAATTCACATTTATTAAACATTTACTATGAACCAGGCCCTGGGCTCTGTGCTTTCACGTATCCAATTCCATTGACTCCTACAAAACACCCTGCAACATAAAAATTATTACTTCCATTTCCCACTGAAGAAAACTGAGATGCTGAGTAAGTTACCAAAAGATAAACAGATATTAAATGGAAGAGAGGGAATTCTAACTCAGATCTCTCTGGTTTCAGTGGTGTCTTTTACCACCTTACATTAAATTTGCTGGGATTTCCTTTTTTCAAGATGAATTTTCACCAAGTTAAACAATTCAACATGATCGTTGTAGGCCTCTTTTTCCTATTTTTTCTTCTTTATTTTCTTCCAATATTTAATTATATATCTACATATACAATGCATTCTATCAGATATTGCATTTAATGATGAACTGTATTTTCACCTTAAAAATATCTAAAACAGTATTTTGGTAGCATAAAAAGGCAGCTAATGATAGCCAAAAGAGGCAGTCTCTATAGCTAGCTTATAAAAAAGAATTCTACCTTTAATAAATAATGGCATTCTAGAGTTGATCAAATATGATATATCCATGAGCCACAAAATTATCTTGGAAATGTGTGCATATTTAATAATAATTTTGTTTCCATATGTTTTCAGCGCTAATACACAAAACATGACTTAAGAATACATCATAAGAATTTATTCCCTTTCGGGCTTTCCTGGTGGCGCAGTGGTTGAGAGTCCGCCTGCCGATGCAGGGGACACGGGCTCGTGCCCCGGTCCGGGAAGATCCCACATGCTGCGGAGCGGCTGGGCCCGTGAGCCATGGCCGCTGAGCCTGTGCGTCCGGAGCCTGTGCACCGCAACAGGAGAGGCCACAACAGTGAGAGGCCCGCGTACAG